TGCTCGGCAAGCCAGCCGGAGAAGGCGCCGGGCAGCCCGCTGTGGCCGGCGCGGCGGCCAGGGCGCCGGGTGGAAGCGGGGCTCTGGGAAGGAGCCTGCTGGCAGGCCGTCGCCAAGAAGCAGCGTCTAGGCTCGGTCTCTGGCAGAGAGACCGCACGCTGCGGATTTTGTGTGGCGTTTTGGAGTAATCAGTTCTCGCTGGCTACGTGTTTTGTGCGCTCGTCTGCGTTGAGAGTTGCTCTTCAGACTTTGAAGCCCTTGACATACGTGACAGTATCCCTTGGAGGCTTTTACCTAAGGCTGAACTAAGCTTCTAGCAGTTTTCAGCTACGTTTAGGCTCCTCATTGCATAGGTTAGTTAGTTACGTTTTTGGCACTCTGCAAATATTTCTAGAAATCCATTCTTCTCTCCCCATAGGAGTTTCTTTCTTGATCGAATTAACGTTGGAAATCCTGCTATAGGCAAAGACTTCTTTTTTTCCACCTTAAACACTAGATGTCATTTACTTACTTGCTTAGTAGCCTGCACATAAGGCACTTTCTCGCTGCTGCTTTGGGAGAGTTGCTGCTGACATTTAAAAGTAGAGACAAGGGTGAACACCCCTGGATTTTTCTCTTCATCCCCTCTCTTCTCTCCTCTCCCCGCCTTGTGTCTCTTACAGGGTTGCGTCGATCACCCAGTTGTTCTGACAGAAGCGGTGTGCAATCCTCTGTATTCAAGGCAAATGATGTCAGAGCTCCTCTTTGAATGTTATCAAGTTCCAAAAGTGTCGTATGGCGTAGACAGCTTGTACAGTTTTTACCACAACAGAAGGCAGAACTGGCCCTGCAGTGGTTTGGTAATATCCTCAGGTTACCAGTGTACGCATATTTTGCCAGTGTTAGAAGGCAGGTGAGTTCTTGGTCTCTTAAGTGCGCCTTAACTTATTTGTTAAGCCTTACTCTGTCATTGACTTCGAAGCGATCAAAATACCTTTTCCTCTAGCATTTGGTGTTCTGGCTTCTGCAATTGTGAGCTCTTACCAGGTCTTAATTTATACTGAAGAGAAGAACTATGTATGCAGCTCTTGCTAACTCCTGCTG